CTGGATCTCTTTCCATTACACACAAGGGGGGTCTCCTCTCACCCCTTCTCAGGCCTTCGACTCCAAGCGAAGATCTCTCTCTCCTGTGGACTGGGACAAAGGTTCGCTTCACCAAGTCATATCATGAAGTGCAGGGGTCCCTTTCCTCAGGGAATTTACCCCTGAGTCAGAACGACTCAGGTAGCTGTCAATTGAAAGTCTTTGCCTCAAGAGTTCTACCAGAGTTCCTATGCCCTGTCTCAGGCTGGCAGCAGCGGAGGGGGCAAGGCCCTCCTCCGCATTCCATCTGGCCATCCCGGTCCAGCTTCGCAGCTCTTCCCTCTAGTACTGCTACATTCCAAGACTCCCCTCGAGTAGGGGTCCACTGCCTCCTCCCAGGAGGGGTCTCACAAGGGTTAGGGGGGTTTGATTCAGTTCTTACCCCCAAAACTCTCTCTGTTGATCTTTCTCTGCTCTGTTGCCCGCTCGCTCTCTCTCCTTGCAGGACATCTCTCTGTGTTGCTGTATACCTTCTTTGCTGCTTCCCTCTTATCTCCTTCTGGCTCTCTGCCACTGTTCTCTGTTCACTGCTGCTCTGCCACCGCTCCTGCTGCCCACTCACAGTGGAGAAAGACTCCCAGCTCTTCAGTCACAGACCTCAGTCCAGTTTAACACTGTTTACGAGTTTCTATGACCCCAGCCAGGGGCTGGGGGGCCGTGGGCCCCCAACGAGGCTCCTGCCCCTTCTACCCGTGGCATCAGAACATGACCCCTTCTCCTCCAACTGCCTCATCATCCTTCTTTTCCAGTCTGGTGTGATATGTTTAAATTTTGCAGGAGCGCTGATTGGGTCAATACAAAGAGAGACATCACCCCCTCGAGAGTTACCATTTTTTTTTAACTCCAAGGGAAAAACCACTCTTTTTTCCCCCCACGAAAATGTTCAAATGTTTTTTGAAATATTAAATCAAAACTAGAGATAATTTTTTTCTCTGTCACAATTTGCTATTTTATGTTAGTAAAAATAATGTTTCAGTAAACAGTCTTAATACATACATGATTTTAAAATGTTCACATGTTTTTTGAAATATTAAATCAAAACTGCAGATAGTTTTCTTCTCTCACAATTTTTTTCTCAGTTTTTCTCTTATTTATTTATTTCTCAATCCATCCTACTATACGTACTTAAATATTTGTAAACATTGAATATCACTGATATTATCAGATTTAACCAGACATCGAAATTAATTCTGATTTAAAAAAAAACTTTAAAAAAATCTTTAGAAAAAAAGTGAAGTATAAGTTGTACTGATTAATAGTGTTAGATAAAAGAAAAAGAATGGAAAGTTCAAGAAAGGAAATTAAAATGCATGCTGCAATTAAGTAAATTAGCAATCTTAATCTAATCTTTAAGCAGATAATGGTGGCATGAGAAAACTACACCAGCGACAAAGCTTTCTCACCAGCTAAGCACACAAATTGAATATTGGGTAGATGTTATTGCTATATTTTCTCTCACCATTTTTAAAAATCTCAGTTAAACCCACAGTGTTTTACTCCAAAATCCATTTAGACCAACCTTCCTTTTACGAAAAGAAGCCCCAGGCCTCCTATGAATAAAACAAGCATCTGAAAACCTGCTAATGCATCACTACCCCTACACATGCTCTTAATGTACAGCTTTATTAAGTGGAAAGAATATGATTTTGGGGTTATGAAATATTGGCTTGATTTATGTAACAAGCTAGCACAAGAGTTGACTGTAGAATAATTCATTATAATTAACAGCTGGGGGCATTCTCACCAAAAAAAGGGATGGAGACATGTATAACAATGCCAGCTGTCATTGGAACACACCACCTGAAGTGGGAAATTCAATCAAGTATTTTTTTTCTCAAAAGGAGGGCAATTTAAACTATGAATATACAATTACCTTTGCCCACTTAGTACTTATATTTTCTCTTAAAGCACTTATAAATACCAATATTTGTTCATGTTATGTCAGTTTGCAGTGTTTTCATTAGTTACAGTGGTAGGCTGCACAAATAAACAGGAATTCCAACTGACTTTATTTCAAAAGGATAGACAACTAAAATAACTTCTAATAAGGCAAAATGCAACAGTTTCCAAGATTCAGCTGCTTATATTTGGAAAAGAGGGTACATTTTACTTTCAAATATAAGCAAGAAATGCTTTCCTTTTTCTTTCATAAAAAAAGGATTTTACCATGAGGTTTGCTTTTATTCATTTTGTCTACTTTAAATTATGGTATCTATAAATATTTTATCAGTACCTGATGGAAGAACAGGAAATGCCAATAAAATATATCCACTGGGGAAATACGTCTAATAGCAGATTGAATGGCAATTCCATCTTCTGTGTGATGTGGTAGTTAGAGTAATCCCTTTTGGAAAAGAAGCTTAACCTACAAATCTGATAAGACTGCAACAAATATCTAGTGGGAGCGGAGGGGGTTGGTGGATGGTGGGAAAAGAATCTCCAACTCCATGTTAAAGAGTCAGGGGCCAAAAACATCTTCCAAAGAAAATGATATTGGAAGTATGGCTACTGTGCAAGGGTGAGTTGAGGAATGAATCCGAAAAATCAGCCCGAAAGACTGCTCAGAGACGTTTTTTTATCTTTAAGCAGCAAGGTATTTGTTTATTCAATGTTGGGAGCAAGCCAGCTCACGCTGGACAAACTTGCTCTACTTGAAAGTGCAAAACTAAACCATTTTATACACTTTAGATACATGGTTACATCATTTATTATATATATTAATAAGCAGGCTGGTCTCTGGGTGGAGTCTTTCCAGACATGCCCAGTCTTCTACAGTGGGGTCTTCTCCTCAAACCTTCATCCCTCTGGTGGTCACCATGGACGTCTTCCTCAATTTGACCTCTTCATTGAGGTGACCTGAATTCTTCAAGCTTGCAAAATCCTAGCTCTGGGCCTTCTAGATCTTATTCAAAGGTCTAGTTTAGCTAATTTATTACTGTCTGTGTACTACTCCTATTCTTTCTATAATAAGGCCTTTGGTCCAGTGACCAGAACAGAACATGATCTTAACCAGTGCTCCTAAAATGTTCTTGCAGCAACACAGGTATTGTGGTGTGTTAGCAGGCCAAGGTACCTCAGTTAACTCTTTTAGGACTGGCTCCTGTTTCATTATGGACCTTGAAACTCGACCCTCTTTGAGACTCTGTTCTAAGTGAGTGGAAGTCTGCTAAGAGTCAGGGAATCATGCCATTAAAATGTGTTTCAACAGAACATGACTGTACAGTTGCTCACTAAACTCTACTAATAAGGCCTCACCCCCTGTGCATTGTGTAGCTGTGGCAGTGACTGCAGTTTACAGCCGTCACCTCTGGTGATTTATTTCAGCTCACACTGATTTTGAGAGATACTCAGGCTTCTTGTTGACTTGGAGTGCCTAATGATTTTTAATAAGCTTCTTAAAAACCCGAAAGGCCGAAAGGTGATTACCTCTCTTCTTCAGAAAATACATTATTTAGTCTCATCCAGCCGCGGCTTCTGGCAACAGCCTTGCGGGGAAGGTGATGAACATGTTTATTACACACCAGTTATGGTCATTAGGTGTTCTAAGCCACGCAGCCCTGGAAACGTCAAAATGTCAAAAATATCATGGGTGTCACGATAACCTCCCAGGTAACATCAAAATATTCTGTATCTCACGTCTGAACGAGAGTCAGAGCCACGTGTTAATTTTCCCCAGTCAAAGAGATAGAAGTACAAATAGTGGCACTGGAGAATCTGGGGTGGCACTGGAGTATTGTACTTGGGGAAATGAGAGTTGTATTTTATTTTTCTGATCTGTACAGGCCTAATATGCATTCCATGTCTGACACAGCATGACAATTATACTTGCACTCAACCACAGGTTAGGGCTTACATATTTATGTTTCTTAGATCAATTGCTGATCCACAGGTACAATTATTGCTACTTTAAAAAAAAAGAGGTCATTAAAGTAATTAAAGAACATTACTATGTTTATAAGAGGATGAAGGAGGCTTTCTACTCTTTGCAAAACCAGTTCCACCATGGACATTTTGGCTTGACTATTAAACATTTCTTAATTTTTATTATTTCTGTCTACATTAAATTAATATATATTATACAACACTGTATACATTATTGCATAATGATTGACTTAATCCAGGAAGTTTTAATTTGTAAAAATTAAGTTAAAATAAAAAGTCCTGGATGTCTGAATATCAATCTCCTGTTTCTCTCAAAAAAATATGTACTCAGGTGACACCATACTAATACAGAGAGATAAGCAAGAAGGTTGGTAATATGAAATATACCTGTAGCTTGTGAAAAGGACACAGAAATTGAGAGCGAGATGTAGATCTAAGGAAATAATTCCACACTTCATCAAAATAAATACATTTTTCACCTAAAGGCAGAGTTAATTAATAGAAGGAATAGAGGTCATTATGCACAGCTAATTAGAAGGTAGCTGCAAAGCACTCTCTGGTTTGAAAATATTGTTAATATTTACCTTACATGCATTCAACTAGAGTACCATATAGGTTGAAGGCTAAAGGATAGGACAGAAAGATCTCTGTGATCCATGGCAGGTGTGGAGGTTTTGCCTCACAAAAATCCAATCTCCAAGCTTTCCCCACCTCCTCATAATTTACCTCAACGCTGAAGAGAAATTTTCAGGCAGGTATACCTCTGCATGGGGGAAGGGAAATATATATACAGTTTATTCCTATACAGAATAAATACTGTACAAACTAAAAGCAATTATATACACAATATTAACACACTTCTACCACCCCTTCGAGCCCCTCCCACAGTCAGTTCAGGAGAAGCCCTCTGGCTGATAGTCAAGCAGTCTTTCTCCCACTGGGGTATCAGGGAAAAGAGTTCTTCTGATCACCCCCCACCAACCTCCATCTCCTTGCTGAGGTCTTCTCTTCATCACGAAGCCCAAGAAGATAGCTCGGAGTCCTTTCTCCTTGGTTCCATGCCATCTCTGCTGTGTAACTCTCTCTCCCCCTGTTCCGTAGCTGCTGTAGTTCAGCTCAGCTTATCACCTGCACGTGTCCTGCAATTCATTCCTCCTCTGTCAGTTTTCAGCTGCCCCCAGTTTACATCACAGCAGAGGCAACTCCCGAGCCCTTTGGCCCACCTCCAACTTTTGCCTGGAGTTTTTTTCTCCTGGCACTGAGTTTTTTTTCCAGCCCATCCTCTTTGGCTCAGCTTAAAATACTAAGCCTTAAATCCACCCCCACCTACAGTGGGGGGAAAAAGCCTTTGGTGTTTTTCTTGGCTCAGTATATTCTCACATTCCTCAGAGGAGGTAATACAACTCTTGAACACTGTCCTCCCTGTTTCCATTGTCTTTCTCTTTGGAGTGTTCTCACATGAGGGGACATAAGAAGAAATGGCTTAAACAGAAATGTAAAAAATATGGTTTTATGGGTTTACTTTATGCTGTAAGAAAAGTATTATTGCCTTAGGAATTGGAATATGAAATATTTTAATATTAAAACCTTTAATAAGGGCATATTTTTACTTTCTGAGCTGAACTGTGAAAAGTTAGGAATTAAAATACGATACACTTCAATATTAAAACCTTTAATATTGCCCTTTAATAAGGGCACATTTTTATGATCTGCATTGTGAATCTCATATACAGAAGAGACAAAATTGATCCAAAGAAGAATCAATAAAATTATTGTTAATATTTCATTAAGTATTGCATAATTATTTTGATTTTTTTTTTCTGAGATTTTAGTTGTAGGAATTTGTTCATAATACAAATTAAAAAGAGTAATTTGTCAGAAATTTCTTGATTTGTACAAATAGTGATGGTGCATCTGCTGAATTTGGGGGCAGAGGATATGTATGTATTTGGGATATGTATATATTTGGGATCTTTTTTCTTAATAGCTTCAATTTGAAAGATAGTTTATGATGAAATAAGTGTTTTGCATTATTAAGAAAAATATTATCCTAGTAATCTAATCCAAATATTGCCTGTTGGGTTGTTTTTTTTTCTTTGCTGATTCATCAGCAATTCTGACAATTTAGTTTTTGTTGCCATGAAAGATGACTTTTTTTAAATTTCTAAAATTTTTTAAGCTTTCTGTGATCTAATTTAATTAAGACTTATCCATTTATGTCGATCATATTAGAATGACACATGACTAATAGATATTACTCTTCTTCTCCTGGGAGTAGATAGCTGTCTGAAATTGTTTGCCCTATTTGGGCATTTAATGGTAGCTGAAAGTAGTCAGGTTCCAAAAAAGCATTTTAAAACCTGTTAAACCAATTGAGCAGCTAAATGGCTCTACAATAAACAGATCTGGAAAGTTCCACTAGTCACAACAGGGAAATGGTCATTAATGTGATGGGAAGTACCTGAAGAAGGGTTTGCCTGGAGGCAGACTCTGTCATCAGGGCAGCCAGCAGACTCAGAAGTATTCATATGAACACCCTCAAAGGCTCCCTTTGTGGTCACTTCTTTTTATTTTTCTTTGGAGATCAGGTTCTGAGGTTATTTAGCTTGTCTAGAAATTACTTTTCCTTTATTTCACCTGTGTCTCTTGCAAGTCTATTATATTTTAGCTGCTACCAAGGAGGAGGAACAAAAGCAGGCCCAAGTTTCCCTTATTTCCTCTCTGTATGGAAGGATTAAGTATACAGATTTATCAGTTTATTTCTGTGTACATGATTTCCCAGTTCAAATAATCTTTAGGAGTATGTTTCACTTGTAATCTGAATAATCAGAAAATATTCTGTACTGGAACATGCAGCTAAACAAATGAATTAAGGGTCCTTTCCATTTTTGTGATTGCTAGCTGTCTATAAAAATATAACTCTTGATTTACATATTAATATAAAGACATAGATGGATGCTGTCCTCCACTTTGTTGTGATAGTCAGGCCTTGGGAGAGGTGCACCACAATACTGTGGAAATGAATGAATTAATGTCTTTTAGTCTCTTTTTAAATCTGAATATGAAAATAGGAGCAATTCCCTCCCACTGTTTCTTAGATTTGCCTGTAATATATCTGGAGACTCCATTAAGACTAAATACTCTCTAAAAAAAAAAGCATAAATAAATATATTAAATTGTAGTCCTAAGGACCAGCAATACAAAGTTATCAGTCACCTCTTAACAGGTAACAATTTTTGAACATATTTTAAAAGTTCTTTGCACCGACATTCTGCAGTAAATTTAGTTATTATGTTATTCTCATAAATTTAGCAAGATTAATAGATCTTTCAATTATAACTGGTGTGCCTAGAAATTTTTCCACTGGCTGTAAAACACAGTTTGAGAAGTAGCTTCTGTAATTTTCATTCATCTGTGCGATGAATTCCGGTGGAATATTTTCCAAATTGTCCTTTCTTAAGTCAGTGACATTTTTTGCCTTAGCAAAGCTGGTTTAATCTGAACTGACTGGGCAGATGTGTCCACCATGGCAGATTCTCTAACAGTCAATGGAGCTTCACACAATTTTATAGTCATTGCTGTATAAAGTGTGTGCTGCAGAGGCTCCTATTTTTCTGGAATATTAAAAAAAGTGAATAAAAAAAATGCCACAATATGGCTGATAAAGAGGCAGAATATCTCACTCTCCTTTCTTTTATCAGTAACTATCTTTTGCTAATTTAAAATTGTAAATCTTTTCTTAATGGAAATACTTCTTTTTGGGATGCTTTTTAACTTCTGTGCTAAAAGTGAGCACAGTGAATGTGTAAAGTAAAAACAAAAGCATATTTCCTGTTTTCTGTTAATTTATTCTGTTTCCAAAATTATTGACTGGTGTTAAATGTTTGGAAAATTTGACTGGACAAAGTGCAAACATTAAAGTATTTGCCATTTCTTGAGGGGGCAGAGGAGGGTTGAAGAAGAGGGAAGCAGACACTACCTCAGGCAAGTTTTAATTTGTAAATGTAAGACTTTGGTTTTGAAAATAGACCTAATAAATGCACCAGTGATTAGAGTTTTTCCTCCTCACATTTGCAAAAATATATAATTTAAAAAAAAGAAAATATGTCATCAATGCTATTAAGTAATAAATATATTTTATTTATTTTTTTATTGTACTATGCAGACCATGGTACAAACATACAAGTTAAATCTTATATTGTGTGCAAGATATATGAGGCTATGCAAAAAATTAAAATTTCCTTAAACATATCCTTAATAAAGATGCTTAATTTAAAACATGACAAATCATAGAAATAGTTTTGAAACACCTTTTGCAGCTACGGTAATATAATTTGAAATAATATTTTTTATACCTTTCATTGTTCTTTCAAAGAGAATGCATTTTTCATAAATATTATTAGTTTTCACCAGAATTCCAAGAATGGAAAACCAGCAAGAAATATAACTAGCTTTTACCCCTGTCTTCATTGTTATGAGAAATCCTAAAAAAATTTGTATGGTGGAGAAGATATGTGATAAATTTTTGTTTGTAGTCAAATCTCCTTATGAGAAATTAAATTTAGACTGCAAATTAATTTGCTAATTGCCACTAATGAGTGTCTCTCACACAACCACAGAGATGTTAGGCTGATTGCCACATTTCTTTCAACATCATATTACCTTCATTTAGAGAGACTTAAGAGTCCCAGAAACATGCAAAGATGCCACCAGGTAATGACAGCATCTTTTCAGGAGAAAAATATCATTTGAGTATCCTGTTTGACATGTGTGGCGGTTTGAGAGCCCCAAAAATCCAATTTCCAAGTCCAAGCCCCCCTCCCACACTTTACTTCAGTGTGAGAGGGTTTTCCAGACAATAACACAAGACTCGGTATAGGGGGAAGGGAATTATATTAGACTTTATTACTTACACAAATAAATACTATAAAACATTATATACACAATTTTAACTATCTCTCCTATGGTAAAACAATATTTACACTAGATCAAGTCCCTTCTATCCCTCCAATAAAAGGGAAGAAGGAAAGATCCTTTCCACTCTCAGGGCAGCACTGTCTCTCCTCTTCAAGGCAACAGTTGTAGATGGAAAATCTCTCTCTCTCTCTCCATTACAACGCAGGGGTTTTCCCTCACCCCTCTCAGCCCTTCAGCTCCAACCAAAGGTCTCTCCCTTGGACTGCAAAGCAGGGACAAAACTCACCTCACCATGGTCATATCATGGGGTGCAAGACATCCCATGAAAGTCCCTTTCTTGAGGGGTCAAGTTCCCTCGACTCAGAATGTTTAGTTCAGTCTTTGCCCCAAGTGTCCTACCAGAGTTCCTTTGCTCTCTCTCAGCTGCCAACGTGGCAGCAGCAGGGGGGCAAGGCCACTTCCCCTGCATTCTGTCCAGCTCTCAGGACGTCTCTGAGTTCTCAGCTCTTCTCTCTCTCTCTCTAGCTGATAGTTTGGAAGCCCATCCCTCCTCTTCAGGAGGTCTCTGGGTTTTGGAAAAGTAATCCACTCTTACCCCAAAACAGTCTCTGCTGAGTTTCCTCTGCTCTGTTGCCAGCTCTCCCTCCTTGCAGGACATCTCTGTGTCTCTCAGCCTGGCTATGTGCCATGTTGCTGATTGCTGGCTATCTTCTTGGCTCTCAGCCACAGGTCTCCACTCAGCTCTGCCTCTGCTGCTTTTCCGTCTCCTGATGCCCACTCACAGTGGAGAAACTCCCCCAGCCTTTGACCACAGCACCTGATCCAGTTTAATACTGTTCCGGGTTTCTGCAGCCCCAGTTGGGGGCTCACTGGCCCCTCTCTCCTCGTGGTCTCAAACCATGGCTGCATCTATTCCAGCTACGTCATCTCCCTTCTTTTCCGGTCTGTTGTAATATGTTGATTTCAAAGGAGCGAAATGTAGCTTCTGATTGGGCCCTACACCAAGAACACCACCCCCTCGGGGGTTACCACTTTTCTAACTCTAGGGAAAAACACTTTTTTTTACCCCGGGACAACATGTTAGCTTTTGGATGCAAAACAGAGCCTTGAAATGTATTGACATTGGCTGTTTGGTAGATTTATGACTTCATAAATCTGCTTTTAAAGGGCTAGAACAACTCTGAGGGCTCCATTACAGTATACTTCATTTAAGGTCTGCTTTGAGAACCCACTTTGAGAACCTGCTTTGAGAACCCACTAGAAATAGTGCATTTTGCTAACACTAACAGTGAGAAGAAATTAGA